CCCCCCCCCCCCCCCCCCCCCCCCCCCGCCATTAGATAGCAAAAACTTTTTAAAAAACTGATGATAATCAGTTTGGTGCAAGGTATCTTGAAACCTGTTGTGTGTCCTCATCCAGCGCTGGCAGGAATTGGATATCGGGGACAATTTGGCATTTTCTATTAACACTTTTAATGTAGATACCCTTCTTACCGGTATTTCCATTCCTGCCTACACGTGCCTGCACTTAAGCACAAAAAGGCATGTGCGAATATGTTTATTGCCGTATTGTTTGCATTAGAAACACTGGGGAAGATGTGGATTAATGGGAAACTGGTTAAATGAACGGTGCTACATCCACAGTGTGGAATATCATCCACCCGTTAAAAAGAATGAGCTAGGTCTATGTACTGTTTTTTTTTTTTTTAATCCAAGACATTAAGTTTAAAAATAACATTATGTATAGTTTGATCTTATTCAAACATGGGCACAAAAGACAATACTACCTAGTACAATGTGCATTTTTAATATGTATTTTTATTTATCGAGAGCCTATTATATACCGCACATTGTTCCGGATATTGGAAAATCCACAGCAAAAAAAATCCCTGCCTTTTAGTGATGGGAGAACAAAAGAAAGTATAAATAATAAGTTCAGGGCTGGCCAGTTGGCTCAGTTTGTTGGAGCAGTGTTGTAACACCGAGGTCAAGGGTTTTGTATCCCCATACCGTCCAGCTGCCCAAAAAAACAATAAAATAAAAAGTTCAGGTAGTAACGTGTAGTATAAAGAAAAATTAAGCAAAGTGAGGAGATAATGACAGGACTATGTGGAACAAAATGAAAATAAATGCAGGAGAAAGACTAGAAGGCATGGAATGTGGAAGGAACATGAGGAGAATTTTTTTTTTATGCGAATAATAACAATAACAACTAATTTACAGGATTAAATGAGGTAAAACATGGAGATGTCTTAGCACAGAGCCTAGTTGCTGAGACTTCAATATCTGGAACCTGACTGCCTAGATTCAAATTTGGACTCTGCCACTAACTCATCTGTGATTTGGACAAGTTCCTCCGATTCTCAGTTCCTCGGTTTCCTCATCTGTAATGAAAATGTGATGATACCAACCTCTTAGAGTTGTAAGGATTTAGTAAGTTTCAGATGTAAAGCACTTGGAACAGTGCCTGGCTCATATTAAACGTTATAGAAGTGTTAGCTGTAATTATAGTTATCTCTTATTGTCATCATTACTACTTGAGGCAGAGTGGTAAAGCCACATTTGCTGATCCCCTGGGCCATTCCTTCCTTCCTTCAGTCACCCCAGCTGATATTTGCCCAACTCTTTACACCTTAGAAGTTTCAGGAGCTTATGCCTCATTAAAACCTCTCAGCTGACGTTTTATTATTTTGATTTAAAAAATAATAATTTATTGAGGTGAAATTCACATAACATGAAACCAACCATTTTACCTTTAATTTGGTTTTTGTTTTGGGGGGAGGGGTGGCTACCAGCAGGGATGGGGATTGGAACCTTGATGTTATCAGCACAACGCTCTATCAAGTGAGCTAATTGGCCATCCCCTCAACCATTTTAAATTGAACATTTAGTGGCATTTAGTACATTTGCAGTGTTGTGCAACCACCACCTCCAGCTCCTAAACATTTTCATTACTCTAAAGTAAAACCCCTTACTCATTAAGCAGTTTCTCCCCATCCCCTTAGCCCCTGGCAACTACCAGTGTGCACTCTGTCACTATGGATATACCTATTCTGGATATTTCATATAAATGGACTTGTGGCCTTTTGTGTCTGGCTCCTTTCACTTAGCATAATGTTTTCAAGATTCATCCACATTGTATTGTTGCGTGTATCAGTACTTCATTCCTTTTTAAGGCTGAATAATATTCCATTGTAAATTTATACCACATTTTGTTTATCCATTCATCTGTTGACGAATATTTGAGCTGTTTCCATCTTTTGACTATTGTGAATAGTGATGCTAGGCACAAGTGTTACATGTACTTGTTTGAGTCCTATTTTCAATTTTGGGGGGCATATACCTAGGAGTGGAATTGTGGGGATCAATTTGCACCCAGCTGTGTTATATGTCCCTTACTTTGGAGACCTCTGGTTTGGTGGTAGGAGAGATCAGGAGAGTTATAGTTATTAGGAAAGGTCTCAGAAGAGGAAAGGGGAGAAGGAATGAATCAGAAATGGTTTGAAGGAAGAATGGGTGTGCTGTGATGTCAGATCAAACAGAGGAGGGAAAGAATGAGAGTTTTCACAGGTGGGGGAAGGGGACTAGGGGTGGGGGGAGGCTAACATGTACACTTTCCTGAATATTGGAATGTTCTTCTTAATTTGGGAGGTGGTTACTTGGCGAAGCGGGGGTGTGTGTGAATACACACACACGTACATATGTAAAAATTGGTGTTCTTTTCTACACATTTGTTACACCTCAATAAAAAATTATTTTGAAAGATGGACAGTAACTTTTTTTTTTTTTGTCTTTTTTCCGTGTCCGGCAACGGATTGCAACCCTCAGTGTTGCGCCGTACCGGGCCGGGGACCGGCAACGGGATTGCAAGCCTCGGTGTTGCTCCCGCGCCTCGCTCAGCCAGTGAGCGGGAGCCGGTCTG